TATTAAATAAAAATAATTGGCATTGTACAATCAATAAGCAAGATTGAAAAATAATTTGTTTTAAATCCACTTACTGTAATTATTGAAACTACTTTTATTTTTAACAACAAATATTTAAATATAAACTCTTTTATGCAAATTTTTATAAGACAATTGCTTTATTCAAGTCTAAAGTACCCAATATTAGATTTATCAATGGTCAATAAATTGAAGCTATAATTTTAAATATTAATAAATCATAAAATAATTAATGAAATCATTGAATCCTCTAACTAAAAGATAAACTACATCGTAGGACAAACATAACTTCGTAGTTTGAAAACTATAGTTTTACCATATCGATGTATAGATCGCAGTTAGTTTACTAACTGTAAATAAGATTGTTATCGCAAAATATACATAAAGTAAATTGGTATATAACAAACTGTAAAGATATTCATTCTTAATGAGATACTAGGGCCCGGATAAATATGTATTAAAAAAATCTAAAATATGTACATAAAATAGGGACGAAAAAATATGGAGAAAATATGGAGTATAAAATAAAATACTTTCATAATTAAACATTTTTTTACTATAAAAAAGGGTCACTTGTGACGTACATTGTTACAGTTACATTTAAAAAACGATGAAAAAAATAGCGAAATATTTATTTTAACAAAAAATAACAGTTTTATTCAACTTCCATCACACTAGCCTTATCAAATTGGTTGCAATACACAATGACGTGCTTCTTTAAATTATCAAAATGAAAACTGAGCATTTGGTCGACATATAGCCTTATATCTGCTGAATGATCTCTCCACTCACATGACGTGATGGATGCATACTTAAATATGCTTAATTCAGTAATTGTGTCTACAGCCCTCGAAACTTCCTCACAGAATTTTGTTAATTTTTTTTAGCGTATTAAATCCTTTATTTTTATCCAAAACATTAGTGGCGGGAACGTAAATTTTATGTATTTTTGTGAATATATGGATGATTGTGACATTTTCTTGTAAAATATGGACTTAACTTTGAAAATAAAAGTTGGTTTTTCATAGTCTAAATACGACAACCCATGTAGAAAACACATTCTAGACCGAAAATCGCGTAGATTAAAAGTATGTATTTATTTACATATTAATCTGGGCCCTAGTGATGACATTTTAAAATTATGACGTGCTGTTCTATCAAACTTTTGACAGTACTTTATAATATAAATTATGTTGATACTCTAAAAAAATCAGTTCTATAATTAAAACTAATGGATAATATTCAAATATAATTAAACTATTATTAGTTCTCTGTTTGACCTTTTAACAAATACAGTTGTTTACGAGTATTTGCCGATCAATATTCATAGAATATATCTTACAAGAACGCAAATATATATACTAGAAATTAAATAAACTACCTCTACAAGTACCACAGATAATAAACCGAAAGTAATCTTTTTCAATTAATTGTTATTTAAGACTTTAGAATAATTAATGAATCAAGTAAAGGTTAAAATTTATTGACTTTGACTTTGACAAAAAAATTTGCGTTGCGAAATGACCTTGATATCTCTTTAGCCTTATAAATATTAAATAAGATATTTACCTAATTTAGGATCTTCATTTTGACCATTAAAACTTTTTATACAAACCTCTTTTGATAAACATATCTCAATCCTTTGATTCAAAGTTTGTCTTGTAAGTTTCGATGCTGTCAGCTTGTTTGATAATTAAACTTATAGCAAGTTATGTTGAATGCAGTATCAGAGTTGTAAACATTGTTTGTCGTTGGTTCTGATTTGACATAGTAATACTGATTTAATTTATATTTCATAAATGCATTATTTTATACAAGAATCTGAATATTTATTAATAAAAAGACCAAGAAGATCGCTTTGATTTTTTTAAAACTATTTTTTTTCGTGTTTCATTTGAAATATTCAATTAATTTTTATGTTACATAGACCTTAGTGTAAATACCTCCTGACTTGTATGAAATTTTTTTAACTAAATTATTTTTTAATGTTATGAATACTTTAGACTTTAAATTTTTAAACAATTTGTTCAAATCAATTTTCACTTATAATGGATTTTCTCAAGTAGCTATATCCTAGTCTTAGGTATCTACATTTCTAGAAAATTCATTATCCTTTTATAGTTATGACTGTTAATGTGAGATTTGCCTTTAATTCAAATGTACTGAATTGGTATACTGATTCCCTTTGTAATAGAATTTGTTAAACTACTAATAATATAACATCAAATTGATACGTCATAAACAATAATATAATATATTTTAATTTACTCATCCTTGACTTTTACCATAGACAATATTATCCAGTTTCCGAACGTTAGCATATATATATAATAGGCACTTTTTAACTTTTTAAACTGTCTGCTAAAAAGAATATGATTCTAATTATTCAGCCAACACATGTAAACAAATATACAACCTTTTTTCTCAATATCACAAGCTAGATATGACAAAATATAGCATTATTACAGTTTCTCAGATTACAAGGTATGTCTGTATGTCGATCACGTAGGCCGGCTTAGTTCAGTTTTATCTTTAAGAGGTCGGATATAAGATCTGCGGATTATTTTGTCATATGATCACAAATGACGTATCCGTTTAGAAATTGTGTATAAGTTTTAATTAAATATTAGTTTTTTAATATATATATTGAAATGAATACCTTTTTCCTTGGTCACAGCGTCAAGCGTGAATGGCTGGATCTATTTTACTAAATCTTTTTTATTGTATTTGTTATTATTAGGAGAAGGTTCTTATGTAAGAAAAAATTACTACGATTTTTCAGTTGTCATTAAAACAAAGAAAAAAATTAAACAAACTTACATGCTTTTGCAAATATATCGGTCGGAGTTGGTCTGTGGCCGGAGTTAATACCTATTACCTAACAATATAAATAATAAATACCTACATAATACATTTAAAATTTCTTCGTTTACTTTTTGCATTGGTTTCTACAGGATAATTTGTACTGTAACAGATATTTTTTGATTATAGGGTGGTACGAAGTTCGCTATAGTACTTAATAGAACCGTAAAATTTTTTTTTACCTTAAACATTATCTTTATACCTAGATTTATAGAATGTTCCAGATTAAACTATCTATATAAACGCTATGTAGCGATTAAAATGCCTTTTGCTTAACGCAATAAAGCGAGCACAAACGTATTGAATTGCTGGCGGTCTATAAACAATGTTATGAGAAAATTTAATATCAACAAACAATGAAATTCTAAATCAATGTACGATAAAATATTAGACGACATTAATATATTGATTAAAGCTATATGTGTTTACCTTTATATTAATTATTAAAGTTTTTAGATCAAAATAACAATTAATTATCCTTATTGAATAGGCAAGTATATTATTTGGAATCCGTTATTTTGGAAGTATGAATTAAAATTATTGTTCTGTTTCAACTGTGAATTTTTTTTATTAGATCTTTAAAAATGTTTTATTCTGCACATGATAGTTGTACTCAAGTCCTTACAAAATCTGTCAGCACTACACGCCTTTATAATATAAGCTTAATACTTAAGATTAAATATACTGCATGTACTACAAGAAATATTATATAATATCAAAGTTATGAACAATAAATAAATTTGACACTATTTTTAGCGTATTTAAGCCATATATTTTGACAATCATTGATCAGTGACATTGATATAATTTTATTGCACATTTTAACTTAAACTCCTCCTGAATTTGTATTTAAATCCGAAAGGATTTTATGCTAAAAATAACTGAAATATTATGAATTAAATTAAAACATTTGGTGTTAAAGATGGCACTTACTAACACTTTATAAAAAAATACTGGCAATAAACTGCATACAAAAATCCAATTTTCATACAAAAAAAAAATCCAAAGCATGCTTTATATCATTTTATAATATAAATCCTCATCTGATATTTAAGTTTCGTGTTGGTGAGGAAAAATCAAGAGATGAAATTCTTTTAAACTCCACCTTTGAATGTAAATTTATTCACTGGCAACACAATCGACTTCCTCGGATTAAGCACGGCATACATTAAGATGCTATTTGATTCTTAATACTTGAAAAGATTTTATATACAGGCTGACTGGTGAATTACTATCGATATTTGAGGACGTGATATTTGACGATCATATATGACAAAATAAAAATTAATATAACATAAATATTAATAAACTTCTGAGTAAAGTTAACCAAAAGTTATGTAATTAATTACGCATCGTGTGAACACCCTACCGATTAGGTATACACACACACTCACACACGCGCGGCGGCGTGGTGTTGTATCAGCACGCCGCTGCACGCGTCCACACTTGGAACACTAGGAACGTGTCCGCACTTTATTTATTTATAGGGAAATTTGGTCAAAAATTAAGTACCTATTTTTTTTACATAATTCGAATGAGAATCATGTACCGAGTATTCTCCTTAAATATTGATAGTAATTCACCAGTCACCCTGTATATAAGTATAATTTGTATTGTTATTATAAATATAGTAATAATTTCTCATATATTCATTTATGAATTTTTACACGTCAAAGTTTTCTTAATAAACACTGAAAACTAACTGTATTTTGGTTTAAAGGAGAAACTGTTAGGATAGGAAACTAGGAGAAATGGTAAGGATAATTAAAGTACTAAATTTGCAGATATAACAATTTTTAAGGTTACATAGAATTATATTTATGTATTACTAAAGAATTCTACTTGTAGCCTTCATATTAAAAACTTTAGTTCTACTTTAGATTTGTAAGCCTTTTTATGCATTCAAGACTAATAAATTAAAAAAAATATATAAAGGGATATAAATAAAATAATAGTTGCATACGTTTAAATCATCTGTTACATTGTTTATGATTATTAAAAAAACTATTAGAAGTTTTTAAAATTGCGGTAATTCTATGAATTTTGACAAAAAATAAACACTTAATCAATGTGGAAATAAATATAATTTAATAAATTCAACGAAGAAGGTTTTAATACGATCACAGCGGGAACAACGTGTACATAATAACATCTGAAATTAAAAAAAAATTAAAAAAAGGAATTATAAAAAAAAAGATCAAAAAGACAATTAATTACCTTCAGGCGGTACTTTAATATGTATGACATCTTTTACTGTGATGTTTTTTAAATGTACTTTAGAAAACACATCCTGAAACAGAAATATTACAATAAAATATAATATTTTAAAATAAATAATAATATTAATATCAAAATATATTTTCACCATGACAGTATACACGTCAGTTGAATTCATTCCATAATGGCCGGGAGTGAAAGAGACAGCATGCTCTTTATTGTGTAGATTGACAAGTGCGAAAGAGATGGAATGATACCTGTCACCTTTTCGCGGCAAATGCGGCTTCACCCATAATGTTATTGGGCCTAGCTATTAAATGAAATAAAATTTAAATATGTAATGATCATCAACAGTCAAATCAAAATAATTATATGAATTTTTTTTTTTAAATTTCCTATATTTTGTACTAGCTTTTCGCCCGCAGCTTCGCCCGCGTGGAGTTCGGTTATATCGCGTTTCCAAGAGAACCTTTCAAAAGTCTGGGATAAAAACTATCCTATGTTCTATCTCAAATTCAACTTTATGTCTGTACCAAATTTCATTAAAATCAGTTCAGTGGTGAGGCGTGATAGCGTAACAGACAGACAGAGTTACTTTCGCATTTATAATATTAGTAGGGATTAATAACCACCTATATTGAAAGTCGGTATATATATACATACCACATAAGGCTTTGCCATTATCCCCAGTTTGTCTTGACCTATGGCTATCAGATCTAAGTTAAGTAACATCTGTTTCTCGTAATCCTTAATATTTTTCATGTCACAGCTTAACAACAACGGTGCCGCAAGCATTGAGTATACTGATATTTGTACTCTGCTCTGACTAGCCGACAGCGAATTGGTTCCGAATATTAACTGAAAAATTGTATATAATAAATATTAATAAATAAAACATATGGTCAAACTGTCTGAATATAAATTCTTGTAATGTCTATTGTATTATCTATTAAAAAATATATATAAAAAAATACCAAAATATGGATCTTTTTTAGTTTTCAAAATAAACAGGTCTATATATTTTTCTATAAACCGTTTTATGTTACTAAGATAGCATAGAATTCCCTTAGTTAAATTTTCAGCATGGAAATTATATATAAATGAAAAAATCTGTTTAATATCTACATTATTTTACACACATACATATATATAAATATTAATATATATATTAAAATACAAAAATTACCAACCATATCGGGATCATTCCAATGCCCTGGTCCATGATAGCCATTAATATCGTTATATACCCCTTGATAGTGTGTTATAATGGCCTTAACTGCCTCCCATGATGTAGCCACATCGTGGTAATTCCGCCACATGTTGCAATATTTTGCCACACTTTTATAATCTGGCTAGCAACAGCCCCAGTAAATATATATTTAATGTCACACATAATAAAAAAACAGATTATTTTTTTTGTATGAAACTGAAATGTTTTTATTACTTTATTAATATAATAAATCATGAGTATGTACTTACAGTTTTATGGTGTATAAATTCTATATAATAAGGCCAGCTACAGGAATATACTATGGGTCGACCTGTGGCATTTAGGTGCGCACCAAGCTTTATGTAGGCTGTAAATTTGTATGACTTATAAACATATATTATGATCCAATAAATGGTTATTATTGTACATAATGTTTTATCAGACACATATAAAAGTGAACCTTAATTATTTGTAATAAAGATACTTTTTATGATACGGTTTATTTGTATAGTTAAAACATATTTAACTATTTAATCTACATATAATCATTGCTATATAGAATTATAGTATATAGCTATGTAAAGGTATTGATATAAATATTTATACTTGTATAAAATTCAATACATTTCATTACCAATCAAAGACTGTTTAAGAAGCAAAAAGATTTGAAAAGTACTTTTAATCAATAGATAATTTAAATTAATATTATATTAAACATACCAACATTAAGATATTCTTCGGTGACAAAACAACCATCGACTTTCAAATAATCTATTTCCCACTGAGCAAACTGTTTAGCATCAACGGCAAAATGATTTCTTGAACCAGGATAGCCCATACATGTGGTGTCAGCTATATTAGTGTATAAGCCAAATTTAAGACCTCTAGCATGTATCTATAAAGAAATGGTCATATTAATAAAATATATAGGTATTAACATAGTTTTATTTGTATAATAGAATTAAGCTGAATTTTTAATTCTAATCTATCCATATATAGTTTTGATTTCAAATCATCATCAAGAAAATTAAAATGAACATTTTAAGTTGTAGTAACATATATATTCATGATATTTCCATTAATAGGCATAATAATAGATTTTAAAGAGATTTTTAAGGTATGCTTACATAATCAGCGATGAATTTCATTCCTCTCGGAAACCTTTTCCTATCAGGTACAAGATGACCATTAGCATCTCGTAGTCTCTCCGACCAGCAATCATCAATAATGATGTATTCATACCCTGCTTCTTGATAGCCTTCATTGTAAAAGGAATCAACTACTGATAATATTAATTCTTCGCTAGAAAATTAATATGATACAGATTATTATAAAAGTTTAATTTGGAGAGCAATTATGTTATTATATAAGGATGAAAATGTATATTTTGAATATTTAATAGTGTTCAAATACTTTATAATTGGTATTGTCATATAAAACACCAATTTTCAATAGAATATAAAATTGTGATATTGAGATATTTCCTTTAAGTTATCTACTATCTTTAGGGGAGATATTTCGTTTATCTATTTTCTTTAAGGCTCAAATATTTAAATTAGGTAAGATTTTCATCATTAGTCAAATTATCACAATAGATTAAGGTTTCTTGGAGATGTTTTCTATAGAATTTTAAAATCATATGAAAATAACTGTATTTACAAAGTCATACTTAAGACACTTATGGGGATTCCTTTTACAGTCCACACCACACATATAGTATCCCCATGACATCCAACCCATTGGAGGCGTTTGTGCCAGCCCATTATTTAATAAATTCACACCGCATAAATAAATAATAAATAAAAATAAACACAGAAACATTCTAAAACAATATTCGTGACAGGTGACTTGAAGATAGAAGTTTGATTTATTTATACAAACAAATGTAACATTCGACACCTTTAAAATGATATTAATCTCGAAAAAAAAATTATTTGAAGTGAAATATGACTAAATATTTACTTAATTCTCACTGGACAATTTTGACATAAGGCGTTGCGTTCTGAACCGCTAGCGTTATGTGTTATTTATTGTAAGAAAAAAACAATATACCGATTTTATAAATTGGATTCGTCCTCGTTTTGATATAAATAAACTTTCATCGTAATATTATCTAAAGCCATAACAAAAGCAAGACGTCACGTTCGTTGAAGGAATTGTGGAACAAAATAAAATGTTACTTACAATACGATCCGGACGATTTAAGTAAAGGGTCGCACGAACCCTGCGTCTTATAGCCTTCCAAGTATAATTCTCGTCTAGAAGTCGAAAAAGCCGAGAATAAGTCTTACAAGTTATGTTGCAAAAGTAAATGGATCTCAAAAGAATTTCTTTTTATTGAATCTATTTCCTTGAAAATTTATTAAACGCTATACTTTATAAAATGTTAAAAGAGCTAGCTTTATGTTTTGTTATGTTAGGATAAAACAGTTTTCCTTATACTTATTTTAAGCTCACTTGAGCACATGAATTTAGGGACATTTGGTTTGTTTTTGCTCTTTTATTTTTTATCTATGTTGTTGTTTGTAAAACCTTCTATTATTTGAACAACAGGTTTATCGTTTTTCTATCAGTCAATATTACGATATATATACTCAAAACTATTGGGAAACAATATTTTGTTTAAAAATGAACATCTAACATAAACTATTTATGATTTAATTTTTAACAAAAATGTTATCGCTTTTATTCTTGAGTTACAATTATTATGACAATCAGTTACAATGTTTTAAAAATATAGAAGTAGGAAATAAAATAAAATCCATTTTGTAGCTTACAATTAACCATTAAGCAGATTCTGCGGACTTCCGTATCCGCAATTGCAGAGCTTCCGTTACGGTTTGAATACTGTTTATCAGGACGGAAGTTAAATCTTCATGAGGATGCATAGGTTTACAAACTGACAAAGAAGTTCGTTGAAATATCAGTAGGTCAATAAGAATATGTAGATATTTTGATTTTATTTTTGTTTATTTAATTTATTATCATAGACATGTATTTTATTTTGAGCGTTTTTAATGACCGCAAGAAATCAAATACATTTTATAATCAGGCTAAATAAATTTTACACAATATTATTTAAAACGAGACGTACATTGCGATTCAGAAAATTTCTATAGCTCAAATAACGATAAATAATTTCGTAGCATAAAAGTTGACGTTGATGTAACGTTATAATTTTCTGAATAAAACTGAATTCAAATTTTCGCATACACACGCGTTCTTATTTTAAAAATAACTTAAACGATTTGGCGGTTTTTATAAATTCTTTTTTTTAATTTAAATATTCAAATTTCCACATATATGCGCGTTCTAATTTTAAAAACATCTTAATTCTTAACTGATTTGACGGTTATTATTATTATTTTTTTAATTTAAAGCTTGAATAGAATTTAATTCAAACTTCCACATACATGCGCGTTCTAATTTCTAAAACATCTTTATTCTTAAATGACATGACGGTTCTTATTTAAATTGTTTCTTCATTATACGCGTTCTAATTTTAAAAACTATTTAAACGATTTGGCGGTTTTTTATATATACTTTTTTTTTTGTCGCAGACAGTTGACGTGCCCCACGCTTTTATTTCAGTCTAGTCAGTGCATATGTTTATAATTCCCACAACTGTATCTATTTTATTATTTTTTGGTTTTTAAACATTGTAATGTATGTTTCACGTAAAACCGTTTAACTTAAAAAGTTTTTTTTACCTATTTTTATTATATATACCTATGTAACTTTTTTTTATATTTATTATTGTATACCCAGGGTCTGTCGAGTATGGGCGATGGCTGGTGATCTAGCGGTCGTGGCGCTGCTCGCGCTCATAGCGACCGTCACCTCGCGGCCGCCTACCACCGACCCGCTACTCTTTGAGGCGGCTTTTCAAGGTAATATAACTTTTAAGATAATACATTAAGGAGTCTTGATTTAATGACCGTAATAGGAACGTGTCAGGCAAAAAAATATTCTTTGTATATAAAAGCATGATATGTCTACTAGACCGTTCCGTCACCGATTCGTGCCGGCAGCAAAACGGTGATAATACGCGTTATAACCGCGTATAAGGACCGTTAAACCAATATTCTCCTTAAATTTTTCGTTTATTTAAAGTATTTAAAATCCAGTAGTTTCGAGTGGGTTTTTGGTTTTCTTCTTTCTCATCCAATATTACGGCCCAATATCAATCATTGCCAGTTGTCCAAAATTTAATCTTTTAATAGCCATATGTACCTATTTTATTATTTCAAAACTTGAAACCACTCCCCAGACGTCTAGGCCTTATAAATACACATGCAATAATGAAACGGCTTGCTAGAAATAGTCATACAAATTATGTTGTTACGGGCATTAAACGCTTTCGACTCGTTTCAGTGGGCAAAGCAAGCCGTACTGGGCAGACTCCTTTAAGATTAAAAAAAGAAATATTTAATGTTAATAACATTTTATTATATCAAAGTAATTTAAAGTTAGATTTTATATTTGATTTAAAAAATGTGTATATTTTTTTAGTTAAATATTACTTGTAAGAACTCATGTTTATGAAGTTTCCTTTAGAACAAAATTAGTTATATACATGATACATTCCAAGTTAATAGAAGAGTAGTAATAGATGTAGGTAAGTAATATTACAGCAGTTTCTCTTAATCTTCCGTTCCATTATAAATTAATTAATAAGTCCTTATAAATTCCTATATAGTATAGTGATATAATATCTGGAATAATACCTTCAATAATTAATAGATCATAGATACTTAATACTTATATAGTAAGACTTTCTGCTAATGTGTCGTTTAAAAAAAATGCTGGCATATTACAAAAGTTATAACTATTTAATTTGAATTTAAAAAAAAACACGTTTTTATTATGCATATAGAGATATGGACTAAGTTAGAAATAACAATATAAGGTATAACTGATAGATAGAAAACCATACAGACGTTTAATTATATTGACCTTTAGTTAATAAATTGATTAATAGTAGTTAATATAATTAATCAAAAAGATTAATATCTTTATTGACTACCAGCTTTCCGGCCGCAGCTTCGCCCGCGTGGAGTTCGGTTAAATCGCGTTTCCAAGAAAATGTTTCAAAAGTCTGGGATAAAAACTATCCTATGTTCTTTCTCAAGGTCGACTCTATCTCTGTACCAAATTTCATTAAAATCAGTTCTGTGGTTTAGGCGTGAAAGCGTAACAGATAGACAGAGGGAGTTACTTTCGCATTTAATATTAGTAGGGACTAAAACCAGTCAACATATAAGTAATATATGGCAACACATACAAACAATATGAGTACAAAATCACATAAAAATAAAATAATACATTTCTGTGAAATAAAATATATATTGAATGAAAGCATACCTCTAGTCGTTTTGAAACGTAATGGGTTTTATTCATACAGCCTGAGGGCATTCAATGTGAATTAAAGGAAAATAACGATATATATAGACTTTCTTTTTAAATCTTTAAGTGTTGCAATGATTCAGCTTTTTTGAATTATTTTTATTAATATAATTTTTTGTTACTGGCAACTTCTATGACTTTTATGACAGAAAGATGACGGGAGATATTTTAATAGAGGAATATTTATTGTGCAATTTATGGTTTTTAAAAATGTCACAACTAACAAAGAAGTCAGTTTTTATTCTTTTTTGTTATAGAAATGTGCAATTGTTAGTTTTAGTTCCTTAGTTATTCTGTATGTATAATAAATAAGAGCTATACATCACAATTAGACCAATATATTCCCACATTTATCCCGGGAATTATTCATTTCGTGTGTTCATGAATTATCCTCCGTCTGAGAACCTTAATTAGTTAGAACGTTAATAATAATTAATAAGGCAAATTATATGAACTGGCAACACTAATTGTAAGGTGTGGCTGATATTAACCTCGTTTGTCTTCAAAGACAGTATTCAGGGGCGGGTTTGAATTATGTATTACACACACACACACACACACACACACACACACACACACACACACGTACACGTAAATATATATGTGGCTATTTGTAAATCAATTTCTATTGATTGATGAAAGGTTTGATGATTAGTTAATTTTATGTGAAAAGGAAATACGCTTGTTCAAATCCTGCTTCTGTAGATGATTTTTTCATAATATTATAATGTTTTAAATATAACTAATATTTTCGGATTACTACGCGTTATTTTATAATATTTTAAACCAAATACATTATTGGAAAATTAGATGTAAATGTTATTTTTCATCTCGTCTGCCCGTAATCACGGTTGGTGCAAATTAATAGAACAGAAACTTCGAAACAGAAAATACTCGCGAAAGTCCTAGATCTCATTATTATAGGGACTATTTGAGTATTAATTCATTAGACATCAAAATAAAGACTTTTTAATCAATAACTATTATATAATATATCGAAAAAATAAAAAATATGTATAAATCTTAATAGTATTATTTGATTTTTTTATTTCAAACGAAATAACCGATGCTCAAATTCATCTTATGATTTTATACAGAATGCTTGTTATAAAATCTCAGAAGAAACTTAAGACCACTTAGACTTTGAAACATTTGATTATAAAATATTGAATCGCAAATTGGATCGATGGAAGTCGAAAATCTAAAGTTCGTGGCTTGATACTTGTGTAGGTGTGGGTTCAATACTATATATACAGGGTGACTGGTGAATTACTATCAATATTTAAGGAGAATACTCGATACATGATACTTAGTAGTTTATTAATATTTATGTTATATTAATTTTTATTTGGTCATATATGATCGTCAAAGATCCACTTCCTCAAGTATCGATAGTAATTCACCAGTCACCCTGTATATACTAGCTAGTGACCCGTGACTTCGCTCGTGTTCCTAATATATATAAATTTACATACTCGAGAAAAAGCCATAATGGAAACTTAGATAATAAATATGTATGGAAGTACTCCAGACATAGATAATCTTATTTTATATATATTTGACTTATTTTATATCTATAACAATGAAAATAATCGAAGGATATAGAACTTTGAATACCTGACTGTTTTTTTTTTTATATTTATAAAATACATTGTTAATACAATAAACCAGTTAGATATAAGATTTGAAACGTCAAAAAAATAATAAAATGAATTCAAAAGTAGATAAATTCAATTGGTAGTCCAAGTTTTATTTTATTATCGAAATATATATCTGCTGAAATTTTACTAGCTTTGGGGGTATTTGTCAAAATTAAATTCCTATTCCACATACAGTAGATAAACACAAAACTCAACAATTCTGACATATGCCATCACTGTCAAAAAAAAAACATGTCAAAACAAATATATTAAAGCGTCAAAATTATTTCAATACCCTTCCTTATTATTTCTTGTTTTATCTGTGGTATTTGAATGAAACCAATTTTAATTGAGTCCCTCAAAGAAAGACAGATTAAACAAAAAAATTCATTTCAAACATTGGACATTTTAAAAAACCGTTCACTTATCACGTACCTATATTTGATTTATATTGCAATGTTTTTTCGTTTAGAAATTCATATTTCATAACATTTTATAAAATGAATTGATTGTCGTTCAGAAACTTCAAACGGAGTATTAAGAAGCTTTAAGAAACGTCTGAAGGTTGACGTTTATTTTTAGAATTATAATGAAAGATAGAAAATTAATTAACAGATAATATTACAGATTTATTATTAAATAAAATTAAAATTATATCGTCGTCATCAGCCTATCAACGCGAACTGCTGAGCAAAGGCCTCTTTCTCACATGGAGAAGGTTTGAACATTAATCACCACGCTTGCTCAAGACGGGTTGGTGATTTCAAACTTATAATTGTGAAACTATAAGTCAAGGTTTCCTCACGATGTTTTCCTTCACCGTATGTCAGTGGTGTTTAAATACTCTCAGAAAGTACATATGACTCCGAAAAATCACATTGGTACTTGCCAGGTTTGAACCCGCACCCTCGGTAACGAGAGGCGGACCCTTTAACCACTAGGCTACCACTGACTTTTATATATATTTAATTTTTTTTAAAGATTTCAGCAATGTTATCTTCTACTAACGTTTTGTTAAATCGTCTTATTTTCTCTAATTGAAAATACCTTGCGTGAGCACTTTTTATTTTTAAAATTAACTTCACAATTTACCACAATACTTATTCTATTGGAGTAGAAATAATATAATAGCTAATATTTCCATTAAAAAAATACAAAATTAAATGATATCTAATTTAATTAAAACCTGCAAATAAAATTACAGTCGCCATCTTGTAGTATTGATAATAATCAATCGTATGCTTCTGATTTTACATATATACGTCTTTTTTATTGACTTCTGAAACATATTCATGAAATGCCAATAATATTTTTTTTAACACTCAATTACACAAAAAGGTATCTTAATGATATTAACATAGAATTGTTTTTCCAATAGTTATTTTTACATTCACTTTCTATAAATCTCTATAATAGAATTCTTTAATAAACTTCAATTGCACGTAAAACCACGTGATGGTCTTTCATTTAGCCACAATATAATCTAATTTGTTTTAGTTTAAATAAAGTTCTTGTAAAGATCTTTCTTAATACATCTTAATTTAAATTTTACGTGGTTTTTATATAATAAATAAGTAAAATATTACCATGTAATCAGGCTAATGTTTGTTTGAAGTATTTACGATGCAAATATTTTTCTATCAACTGAAGGTCTTAATAATTGTTTTACATTAATTATTAATATTCAATGGAAACAATTATTTTCTTTGGTTCAATGTATCATACTTACATACAGGATGTGCATATTTATCTTCTCTCTACTATTGATAATACACATTAAAATTTCTATCATGATCGGCTTAGTACTTAGTTGTAATTATTAAGCGGAATAAAGTAATAGTTTT